ACTTTCACGCGAGTCTTCCCTCTGCAGGCTGAAGAAAGAAGCCTCTTTGAGTTCCTCGCTGCTGAAAAACGCTCCAGCGCCTCCTCTGCGCTCCGAGCGGACGGCCTGTTGGTGTTGGCAGGCAGGGCAGGGAGGATTTGGAAGTGGATCAAGCTTGGCTGGAAATGAAGAGAGGTTTGGACAAGAAGCCATAGCGGGGGGGGGGGGGGGGGGGGGGTGGGCGGAGGGGGCGTTCAAAAGAGAAGATGAAAGCGGGAAAAACAGAACAGAAGAGAGAAGGATTGAACGAGAGAGAGAGAATTCCAGGCTCCAACAGCAATACGTTATGTGGCAGAAAAACAGAACCATTAAACAGTTCATTCAGGAAGTGAACAGGTCATGACATCATTTCCTCGCTGGCAGGGGCAGGATGTGGGCCAATGGTTGTACAGTTCCTCCAGAGAGAGAGAGAGAAATATAAATGACAAATGGCTGTAAAACAGAACATATCTGATTTGCATATTTGAACACTGAGTATTAAAGGAAAAGTTCACCCAAAAATGAAAATTCGCTGAAAATGTGCTCACCCTCAGACCATCCAAGATGTAGATGAGTTTGTTTCTTCATCAGATTTGGAGAAATGTAGCATTGCATCACTGTCTCAGTAATTGATCCTCTGCAGTGAATGGGTGCCGTCAGAAAGAGAGTCCAAACAGCTGATAAAAACATTACAATAATCCACAAGTAATCCACACCACTCCAGTCCACCAGTTAATGTCTGCGAGAAGCCAAAAGCTGTGTTTGTAAGAAACAAAACCAGCACTTTTAGCCAAAATACCAAGTCCACAATCCATAATAACGCTTCCTCTGGTGAAAAATCAGGAGAGAAATCTGCACAGATCAATCACAAGACAAAACAGTCCAAAACAAATGTGTGGATTTTGATGTGAGAGACAACAGGAGATGGACTTTTCACTGGAGGAAGTGTTATTATGGATAGAGGATTCATTTTTTAGCTGGAAGCAACAGTTTGAATTTAAAACGACTTGATGGATTTGTTTCTTACAAACACGCTTTTGGCTTCTCAAGACATTAACTGATGGACTGGAGTGTTGTGGATTATTTGTGGATTATTGTGATGTTTTTATCAGCTGTTTGGACTCTCATTCTGACGGCACCCATTCACTGCAGAGGATCCGTTGCTGAGCAAGTGATGCAATGTTACATTTCTCCAAATTTGATGAAGAAACAAACTCATCTACATCTTGGACAGCACAATTTCACCCATTTTTGGGTGAACTACTCCTTCAAGAATCTGATCTCATGCAAACAATTCCAAGTGACCGTCACTCACACTTTCTCTCTGCAGGTAGCTGATCTCTGTCCTCCTGCACAGCTGTCAGATCGCTGCGCTTGAATCTGTGTGGCAGCTGCAGCAAGCGTCCAGCTGTGTGTGTGTGTGGAGCCAAATGCTCCTTTGTCATCTACAAACAATCGGGCGACACACTCACCCCGGACATGGCAATTAATCACACAGAGTGGGGGGGTATCACCATAAAAAAACGGACAATATTAGAATCCGAAGCTGATACGTTTTTTTTATTATTCGAAAATATTTTTTATTATTTATTTTTATATTTCAATTTTTTGAACCCAGACACCCCCCAAAAAATGCAATGGTCAGAAAATATTTAGTACATAAATTTGTTAGTTGGGATGGGAAACGCAGGGCCAACAAAACAACCCAAAAAAGCAGTGTTGTTATTGTTAACTAAAAACTAAAATTATTAACGAAATCATGAAATCATTTTAAGCTGCAGAAAACTTCTAAAAACTGTAATAAAAATTTATTGAAACTATAAACAACTAATAAAACCCCCCCAAAAAGCACATAAAATGAGCAAAATTTAAACTAAAATGAAAACCGAAAAAAAAAGCAAATACAATCTCATTCAAAATATGAATAAATACTAACCATATATAAATCATAATAACATAACACTTGACGTTCTTCACTCTGCATGAAAGGAAGAAAAATGGACAGCAAACATCACTCTGAGCAATAATCATCAAAGAAAAGGACAAACACTTCACGTTACACCCCTTCTCAGTTTATTTTCAGTTGCATAAAAACAAAACAATCGCTGACATCTTTGAATGAGCCCAGATCAACAGTTTGGTCAGCTGACAAGGTTGCCACATCTGCTTTGCATGTCAATAAGATGCAAATTAAGATGATCAGCATTCAATAGTCTGGTGGGTCGCAACACTGAAGAAGTCAAAGGTCACATGATGCCTGCTGCTTGAATGGGGCGGAGCCTAAAACAAACCCTGATGATGCTGAGAGCAAATCAAAGGAAACTCTAAAATACAAAAACAACAACTGAAATCATGTTTGAAAGACAAACACACACTCACCGAACATCAGCTATTCAGTATACATGTATAAAATCACTCTATGAGGGGCAATCTGACCATTAAAATCTAAAGAAAAAATGGCAAAATCATATTTTGCATGAAGAAAACTTCAATCTAGTTCATGCTAAATATTTAAATAGTTTTTTCTTTAAGATTTCGGGTGAAATATGAACCAGATTCAACCCCTTATGTGTGCGTTTGTCTTTTCATGTGGATTCTTGATGCAAGACAGAAAATACACAAACCCCAAACCGGCCGGCAAACCACGAGGTTCTGCGTGTGTTTCCTCCCCTAAATTAAGCTGGAGGCCACAGACTACGCAAAAAAAGTTCAAAAACACTTCCTATGTTCCTCCTCATGGTCTAAAATTCATATTCATATGCCGTTTACAAGATTACATGTACTGTAGCTTATTTATAACTAGATGACTGTGTTAAATCAATTATCGTCAAAGCCAGAGAAATCGACATGTAATAGCTAGATATACCGTTAAAAGATTCGACCACCATCCTCGGCAAACAAATTTAGTTCAAAGTAAATAGTTTTAAATAGAATGACTTGCAAAAAACAACCACGGCAAAATGGCCTATATACTCAACAGCCATTGTTGTTTAATTTCATTTCGATTCATGCTCGATTTTTTATGTTTTTCGACATCTCACATTGTCTATTTAGGAAGCTGAACGTCGCAGGGCGATAAAAAGAAAATGGTCTTCGCTGCACAGGCCTTTCTATCAGCTAGAGATTCAACTCGCAGGGGTTTCGAAGGCCACTATTTTCTCCCAAAAAACCTGATTCTACGAATCATTCTAGCAAGAAGTGTTCGACTAACATTCGAAATCCTCCACAACCTGCATCACTTTTTACATACACGTTTATCTTCTTTTTATTTTACATTTTTTAAAGCAATCGCCTTAAAACAGTGCAAAACGAAAGTAATCCCATGCAACAGATCTACGACTAAAAACATACAAACCTCATTCGTGAAAAACGAGTAGGTGAATCATTCAACAACGCAACGTTACGAATGATTCGTGTTCCGCTCGCATTTCACAAACGAAGACATTTTTTAAAGCAATCGCCTTAAAACAGTGCAAAACGAAAGTAATCCCGTGCAACAGATCTACGACTAAAAACATACAAACCTCATTCGTGAAAAACGAGTAGGTGAATCATTCAACAACGCAACGTTACGAATGATTCGTGTTCCGCTCGCATTTCACAAACGAAGCCTATTACGTGGACATTTATACGTTTTGTAAAAAAACGCGACTTCGAGAGAAAAAGAAAGTAATAATAATAATAACAATAATGCATAATATTAAGGACACTATAACACATTATAAACAGGGATGCGGCCCGAGACGGAACGAGAACAGGAAACTCAAGCGATCCGACTGATGTTCATGAAGAACCTGACCACTTCATGTTGAATGTCCTCTCACACACACACTAAAGTGTGTCTCCCCATCTGCTGTGTGTGTGTGTGTGTGTGTGTGTGAGACAAAATAAAGGCTCGCTCCTGTAGAGTCAGCGTGACTCCAGCTGGACGACCCTGTCGGCCGACGGCTCCTGGGGGGTGAACGGGACGGATGGATGAAGAGCAGCCCCCGGGCCAAAGAAAAGACGCAAGAGCTCGTCCAGTCTCTGGGGCTCACAATTCCACCAGAGAATATCTGACAACAAAATCAAAAGAAAAAAATAGAACAGGGAATTTTGATTTTGCTTAAAGAAAATGAAGCCTATTTTGAGGAACATTAAGACTTTGTGCACATTGGCATTATTTCCATGAATATTAAGCACATACCTACAATTACCCCCAAAAGTGGTTAATTAAAATATATTAAAATGATGCATAAAAAAAATCTCAAGAAAAAAAACAGATTTAGGAAAGTGCTTAACTATGATGAAAATAATGCAAAAAATGTAATAATTAAAAACAGAAAAAAAAAACATCTTTAAGAATTTTATTTTTTGCTTAATATTTTCAGGAACAATAAGAATTGCTGCACTGTGTCAATTCTCATGAATATTTGTAACCCAAATTCTCAAAAACACAAAACAACAATATATATATAATTCTCAAAATTAATATAATGCAAAAATAAATGATGTATTAATAAAATTGTAACATTTATGAGGGTGTTTTTTTGGTGCTTATTAAATAGTTGTGAAAAGACTAATTTGAGTTAAATTTAAAACATTTAATGAAATTATTTCATTCTCAAAATTATCATAATTACTCGAATGCAAAAAAAAGTATTCATTTATTAATTAAAATGTAAAGTATTTATGCATCATGATCAATTTTGGGGAAGGAAGATGTGCTTAATTGTCAGGAAGAAGTAAAAATACAAAATTAAATGAATCTCATTCTGAAAATGATTATTGTTAATGCAAAATAATAATGTACTAATGAAATTGTAATTGTAGTAATAAAAGTATTTATGCGTCATGATAGATTTTGGGGTGGAAATGTGCTTGACTGTGATGAAAATAACGATACAATGCAAAAAAAATAAAAAATGTAAAAAAATTCTTAAAATTATTATTATTATGCAAAATATAATGATTTATTAATTCAAGTGTATTTTTGCATCGTGATAATTTTTTTAGTGGGTTGGAATGTGCATAGTTGTGAAAATAATGACAAATTTTAAAAAAGATTAAAAATAGGCTTCATTTTTATGCCAAATAAAAAAACATTTACGCCAGATTTTTTCTTTTGATTTTTTACATTTGTATTTATTTTCTTCGGTGTCGGTTTAGTCTGGAAAGCGTGAGACAGTGACTGGCGTCTGCACGCATGCGTCTAATGACTGTCTGGTTTCACGTCTGGCTCACCTCATGAATATGCAGATGTGAAGTGTGAACATGTACATATTAATTTCAATCTGCATATTTTACCCTCTGACCTCTGACCCAGCCCCATATCCCATAATGCCTCATGTCTCATCCATCCACACCCGATTCTATCCTCCTATTACAGAAAGCTTGTGTGTGTTGTAGTGTGTCCGTGGCCTCTGTGGTTGGTTTGCGTGTCTCTTAATGCGTTTCTGGATGGTTGTGTTGTGGTTCGCAGTGGTCAGGGCCTCCAGCGGTGCGTGTGCGTCACACGGTGAGCTTCTGGATGGTTCTGTTGTAGTAGGCGGTGGTCAGCGCCTCCAGCGGGGTCCAGTGGTGAGCGTGGAGCTCGATGACCTCCATCAGGAGTGAGCGCGTCAGCTGAGACTCAGACGGACACAGCATCTTATCCCGCACGGCCGCCAGCAGCTCTGTCATCATCTCAGGAAGCTGCTCCTCCAGTAACCGGCCGGTGCTCTGGAGCTGCAAGAACAACCACAGAGAGAAACATGACTGACAAATCCTCCCAAATATTACCGACTTTCTCTGTTCTCTTAACAAAATGATTATCCCAGAAAAGGTGTGAAACTGACTGTGTGGCACCACAAATAAATGCATTTTTAAATAAATAAATAATTTAATAAATTGTGTGTATATATATATATACACACACACACACACGCACACACATATACACACACACACACATATCCTATCACAGAGATTTTAAAGTATAATTGTAATGCTAAATAATGGCACAATGCAAAAGTCTTAAAAATAGAAAATTAATTACATTTGTTAAATTTCATTTTCTTAAATTAACAATTAATAAATATTTATAAAAATCGAATTCTCAAATGTATTATTATTACTCTGAAAAAGTGTGAAATTGTGATGTGTTTGTCATTGCACCACAAAATAAATAAATATAAACAATTAAAAATAAATAATTGATTAATTAACTTAATTGAAAACTTTATAAAATGGATATTTAAAAAATAAATAAAATTATATATATAAATTATCTCAGTTTTTAAAAGTATAATCCCAATACTAAATCTTCAAAACAGAAAATATGACTTTTTAAAAAAAATGTATTTGATTAAATTCATTAAATATAAAAATGTAATTATCAAAATGATCATCATTGCTTTAAAACAGTGTGAAAATGTGAAACTTCTTTTGTGATCTCTCTCTCTATATAAATATATGATGATGCAAAAAAACAAAAAAAACAATTAAAATGCATTGCTATCATTACTCTAATGCAAAAAATTATGTATTAATGCAATTGTCAATTGTCAGTATTTATGTATTGCATTATGCATCACTTGTGTGATGTCATTATGAGACTAGGGTTTAAATGTCATGAATATAAGGTCACAAAAAAATAGGGTTCATTTTCTTCATGCAAAATATATTTAGAGGTGACCGGACACGCTTCATGTGAGCTTCACACTGAGGCTGGAGCTGAAATGACTGTCTGTGCACTGACAGCACGTCTCGGATGCGGTGCATCAACATTTACTCCAAATATCCTGTAATACTACTTTAAAGCGGGGTGGTGAAAGACAGACAAAGAGAGGCAGGAATCACTGAGTGGTTTCTGAGAGGAAATAAGATGTTCAAAGTGAGATGGACACACTCAGGCTCAAGCAAGGGTCAGAGGTCAACTCCACAGGGGGCACAGAGAAACAGATGCTAGTCTGAGAGAGAGAGAGAGAGAGAGAGACTGGAGGGAAGCCGCCGGATGTCCAGACAAACTGTCTGCTGATGATCCGTTTTGTGGGCAGATGGGACATCATCTACTGGATGCATGGAGCCACACTCAAGTACACACTTAAGTATTTGTATATTACAAATATTATTTATTTATTTACTTACTTGTGGTGCAATGACAAACTCACACTTTTTTTTTTTTAGAGTAATTATAATTTTGAGAATTTTTATACTTTTTTAAATTAATTTAATAAAATGAAATAAAAATGTAATAAATTCATAACATTTTCTATTTTTGAGATTTTTTGCATTGCGCCATCATTTACTGTTTATCTTAATATATAAGTCTTATAATTGTTTTAGAATTTAAATATATTTGATACATAAAAAATATACATGTACACAATTTTTTTTCCCATTTTAAAAATAAATGGGAAAAATAAATGAAAAAATAAAATATAAATTTTTATAAATGTTAGATATAAATGCATCTTTTATTATTCAATTTTTATCTTCTGAAATAAACAAATATATTCATTTAGTTTTTTTGTTTATTTTATAACTAAATAACTAACTAAATAAATAAATAGGTAATTTATTCCCTTTCAACAGACAAAAAATGAAAAAATATAAACATAAAAATATACATTTTATTTATATATTTAAATATTCTATTTTTTCATTATTATTTCTCTTTGAAATGGAAAATATGTATTCTATATTTATTTTATAAAAATAAAAATAATTTTATTTTTCAAAAGATAATGTTATTTTCATCTAGCCTTTGATGTGAATAAATGCTGGTAAGCCTGGCCACTGAAAACACATCTAAAGACTTCTGCGTTCTGCTCAGCTGAACACAAGAGCACGAGCCCTCTCACAGCTGTAAACAACTGAGAAAACAAACCAAACGGAAGGAAAAGAAACAACCAGATAAAACAGCTTGCATTTCATGTGAAAGCATCTTCCTCTGAAGCAGTTGATCAGAGCCAGTCAGACGAGGGTTTGGGCCGGTCTCTGGTTCATCATGAATGTGTTAAACTCACCTCCATCGAACAGCAGAGCACCGCGTCCTCCTTCACCTCCGGAGACTCCAGCAGCTAAAACACAGAAAACACACCAATCACAGTCAAGCAGTTCCTAAAACATTCAACATCTTCAGTACATTCACATTTATGCATTTGGGAGATGATCTTATCCACTGCATCCATTGAGTCTATATTTAAGTCAAGACATTACAGATGAACAGAATAAAAACTGAAACTAATATATATTACTATTATTATCAAAAACTATGATCACTAGATATTATTATTATTATTATAGAAACCTTGGTTTTATGATATTCTTAAACAACAATAATACTAATGCTAAAACTAATAATAATAATAATAAGTATTAATATATGTATTACTATTATTATCAAAAACTATGATCACTAGATATTATTATTATTATTATTATTATTATAGAAACCTTGGTTTTATGATATTCTTAAACAACAATAATACTAATACTAAAACTAATAATAATAATAATAATTATTATTATTTGTATTATTAGTAGTATTATTGTATTTGTTGCTGTTGTTAGTACTACTACCACTAATAATAATAATAATAATAATAAGTATTAATATATGTATTACTATTATTATCATTATCATCACATATTTACATATTATTATTTTTATTATTAGTAGTAGTAGTAGTATTTTCAGTCAGGTCAATTTTGAGATTATACTATTATTACTACTACTACTAATGATGATGATGATGATGATGATAATATATTATTATTATTATAAAAGAAATCTTGGTTTTATGATATTCCTTTATTATTATTATAAAATGATTATTATTATTATTGTATTTGTTGCTGTTGTTACCACAACTACTACTACAAATACGTAATAAGTATTAAGATATGTATTATTATTATTATAAATAACCCATTTTAATCCTCATTATTATTGTTGTTGTTGTTAATAATAATAAAAAGAATAATAGTTATTATTAGTAGTACTACAGGGTAAAATAAAAGACATAACTAATATAAAGTATAATAATTAGTTGGTTAATCACTGTACACTAAGACAATGTTTTACATCTCGGAAACTGCATGAAACTAAACTCATGTTTTTTCCTGTAGGGCTCGAGCAACTAGTACATGCATCATTAATCTGCATTCTTCTCTTCAGCTTCAGGAGGTCACTAAAAGAATAATAGTTATTATTAGTAATACTACAGGGTAAAATAAAAGACATAACTAATATAAAATATAATAACTAGTTGGTTAATCACTGTACACTAAGACAATGTTTTACATCTCGGAAACTGCATGAAACTATGTTTTTTCCTGTAGGGCTCGAGCAACTAGTACATGCATCATTAATCTGCATTCTTCTCTTCAGCTTCAGGAGGTCACTGCCGGTAATCCAGACGTATATACAGACCACACATCACTGCACCAATCATCTTTCACTTCCTCTTTCACTGTTCCTCAAAAACCACCAGCCGACAGACGCCAGCGAGAGCAATATCAGTCTGAACCCCAGACGACTGCTGCGACAGACAGACTGACAGACAGAAAAGCGCTGGCTCTGACCACAAACACAGAAGTGCAACTCACTCAACAGGACAAATACACTTTATCATTCTGCAGCTGAGCCTGAATCTGCATTCTTCTCTTCAGCTTCAGGAGGTCACTGCCGGTAATCCAGACGTATATACAGACCACACATCACTGCACCAATCATCTTTCACTTCCTCTTTCACTGTTCCTCAAAAACCACCAGCCGACAGACGCCAGCGAGAGCAATATCAGTCTGAACCCCAGACGACTGCTGCGACAGACAGACTGACAGACAGAAAAGCGCTGGCTGTGTGTGTGTGCACAGAAGTGCAACTCACTCAACAGGACAAATACACTTTATCATTCTGCAGCTGAGCCTGACGCAAGACTTATTTCTGTGTGTGATAGGCAATTTTCAACGGAAAACAGAACAGTTTATTTTGGTGCAAAGATGATCAATGCATGGATGCAATTAAAACGAAGGAAAAGAAAAGCACCTGTATACTTCAATAAGCAAACAAATGCATGCATTTAGCATCTATTAATGTTCCTAGCGTTATGCATTTCACAACATTGTGACTATATTTGCATCCTGCAGTCTGGTTTCCCATATGATCGGCTGCCTCTTCCCGTAGCAGACACGATTATGTCATTTGACGTTATGTAAGAATGTTCTTTTGGTCTTGGCTAACGTGTTTGTGTAATGCAGAATTGCTGATATGACCCAGAGACACATGAACTCTGTTCAAATCATGATAACTCATTAATGACTCAGTGATTCATTCAGAAATGAGCCGACAGTTCTTCTTTTGCAATTAGTATTTCTACAGCTTTTTTGAGTGACGACACTGCACTAAAAACACACACTAGATATGAATTATAACTAGAGATGATTCTGGATATTGACTGGGTCTTCACATTTAAAAAAATCCTGGTTTTACAATATTCCTTTATTATTATTATTATACTAATAAAATGTATTAAAACATTATTATTATTATTATATTTGTTGTTAATAATAATAATAAAATTGCTAATAATATTATTATTAATATGTAATAATCTGTATTACTATTATTATTACTATTGCTAACAATATTTTATTATTTTAAACAGGAATTTCATACAACCAAAATATTATTAATTTATTTTTTACATTTTTATACAAGCACCTTATGTGCAGCACCTTATTTGACATAAAATAAAAATGCAGTGTTTTGTTGTAACTTAACTGTTATACTGTATTTTTATTGGATTACATTATTTAAAAAAATTATTCAATTGTTAAAGTTTTATGAATTCAGTCCATAACACATTTTTTAACTGAGATAAATACAATAAATAAAACAAAGAATACAATTATCTAAACAATCTGAATTAATGGGGCCCTAAATGAATGTTTCCTTTAAACAAACAAACTATGATTACATTCATAAGGTTTAACAAAAATGTGGAATGTATTTCCTTCTCTATTAGTGGTATAAAATGAATGTTGTGTGTATATATATTTATATAAAATCATATGGAAAAACATATTGTAATAATATTTTTGGCCATATCGCCCAGCCCTAACTATTAGTGGTGTTTTCTAAGTCAAAATTCCCCATTACTATTCCTCTTAAGAATTAAACTTGTGTTTTCAAACTTGTACAGCTATCACGTGACTTCAGATGATACATGGACAACTTTAATCATACGTTCATGGTGTTTTTGCTCCTTTTTTGGAGCTCTCGCCCCTGAAGGTGTGTGTGTGTGTGTGTGTGTGTGCAAGCGTCTGAAGAGATTTACTGAGACGACTAGCAGAGCGGCAGGCGGGGAAAAGCGATCGGGCAGTGACACAGGCAGCCCTTTGTGAGGCAGGGGGCCTGCAGGGGCTGATCAAAGCTGACGCGAGCGGCTCTGGACTCTGTCTCAGAAAACAGCTGACAGCTCCCGCACAAAGCCACAAAAACCAGGAATCTCATTCAAACAGACTCGCTCTCAAAATATACTTCCCTTCACTCATGGTGACCACAACAGCAGATATTTATACAGATCAGCTACTTTAAGAGCCACAACCTACACTTGTTTGCCTAATGTTTACCTATAATGTTACTCAGAGTTCTTACAAACAGGTGGTTACTGTTCCTTTAAGACTTTGTATGTAATTGGCCTCTTATGACTGGCTAATCTTCCAACCTATTACAGTATGTATGTCTACATACGACATCACTCTTTGGTTTCAAAAGACAATATGACGCCTTTACTTTTGGTCTTGGTTCTGTATAAAATGAAAGGTAACTTGCAAGCAGTGATTCTTCAGAGAAACATGAAAAAATGCCAGAATAATCTTTGCTAACATGAGCAAATGTCAATTAGTGAGATGTTAAACAGACGGCAGATCTGGCCTGTTTGTTACGGCAAAGCTCTGCTGTTCTGTATCTAGTCAAATGCAAAAAATACTGTATTTGTTGAGAAAATCAGTGTCAAAATGACAGTACAGCCTGCAGTTAATGTTAAAGAGTCTTGCATGGTTCCCAAATTTATATGACTTCCAATCGTTTCCGAGTACTGGATGTTTAAAATAAAATGAAATGAAGTGGAAAAAAAAAAAAAAAAAAGTAGTAGTAAAAAAAAAAAGTTTAAAAAAGTAAAAAAGTGCAAGGATGCATTAAATTATTCAAAAATTACAGTGAACACAAAGTAAACGCTATCGTATTTTTATCACCGTTTTCACAAAAATATGAGTGGCAAAAACTATTTTCAACATAATAATATAATAATCAGATAATAATAAGAATTGTTTCTTGAGCAGTAAATCACCATATTATTTCTGAAGGATCGTGTGACACTGAAGACTGGAGTAATGATGCTGAAAATTCAGCTTTGATCACAGAAATAAATTACGTTTTACAATATATTCACATAGAAAACAGCTATTTTAAATTGCAACAATACTTTACAATATTACCGTTTTTACTGTATTTTTGATCAAATAAATACAGCCTTGATGAGAAGAGACTTCTTGTAAAAAAAAAAAACATTTAAAAAATCTTACCGACACACAAACTTTTAAACAGTATATATACAGTGGGTACGGAAAGTATTCAGACCCCCTTAAATTTTTCACTCTTTGTTATATTGCAGCCATTTGCTAAAATCATTTAAGTTAATTTTTTTCCTCATTTAATGTACACACAGCACCCCATTATATATATATATATATATATATATATATATATGTTACAAATTTCACAATAGAGACTTTCTTGACTGTAAGATTTCTTTATATTCATGACATTTCCAGCCTTAAAAATCCCAGATATCTTCAGGTTTTCCTCAACTAAGGAAATCTGTTTTTAAACTTTTCTCTTTATAATAAAATTTCACCTGCAAAGACTGAAGGACCCTTACATGCCAGCATATTATAATAGAAAACCAGCCAACAAATATCCAAAATATCATTTCCAGAGAAACTGTCTGAATACATGACAAGCTACAGCAGACGTGAATCCATGGCCCGCGGCGTTTGAAGGAGTGAAAGTGTATATTGGTGTCTGGAGGGATCTAGTCCTGGTGGTCTGGGGTCTCTAGAGAACCGGCTGCTTTAGGTCTAGAGTTATACAGTCCATAATGACGTCCCCGGAGACAGAAACCACCTCAAACTAACCCCACACACAACACACGTCCACATCACAATCAACATCCACCATCAGACAGACTGTGATCAGCTCCCTACAGACAAAATTAACATGATCCTACATGGTCAAACTCTCCAATACCACTAAGAGACGCATTTAATGATTATATGCATGTCTAAAAACCAATCCTTTAATAATGCAAATAAAACCTTTCATTTTCTGCATTTCTCCTCTTCTCTAGCTTGCTTCCTAAACTAGTTGTGTCATAAACCTGCCATTTAATCGTATATTACGAATATTGTTGGCTCTTTGACTAATTGCTTGTTCTTCTCTTGTAAGTCACTTTGGATAAAAATGTCTGCGAAATGCATAAATTTAATGCTGCTTTCTTTGACTCTGAAAAATTGTTTATTTAAAAAAATGAGTCACCCGCAATGCTGACTCACATCACAGAAACACAGAAAAAACATTATTGCTGCAAGTGCAATGAATGTGCAAATGTCTAAATCAAAAACACAAACCAAAAACTTCAGCTTTCCTTTTGCATTTACATCTCGAGTTCTCTCTTATAATCTTTGATTGATGATTTCAGGACACAATCACAATCTCATAACATAAATAAAAATGTATATTTTTGTAAAATATAATATAAAGAATATAAAATAAAGTATAAAATATTATATTATAAAATTTTATATAATATATTATAATATAAAATAACATGGATTATATATATATATATATATATATAAATTATTATATTTTTTAAAAATACATTAAAATATAATTATAATATAATTTATATATGTATCAAAATATAATATAATAAATATATATCATATTATAATTCATATTTATTAAAATATAATATAATGTATTAATATATTATATTATATTATATAGGATTGTTTTAAAGACAAAATTCAACAATTTTAAACAATTCTTTGAGCAAAATTTTACAAGTTCATTGTTTAAGAGGTAATTCTACATTTTTCCTAGATAAGAATTAAAAGTAGATACAGTTTAGAAGAATTTCAAAACAATTAGTGAATTGTGTAGAATGTAATTGTTCTCTGTAAAAATAATTGTAATAAACATAATCGGAGAAGAAATTGCATTTTTATTTCAATGCATCACTTGCTGTTTCGTTGCAATTGCTCGCGAAATTTACTCTCAATTTCTGCATGAAAATTGTTTCAACACAACTTTTTTAATGTAGGTCCTCCATTGAGAAAACAGTGCATACAAAGTGCTTTTAGAGACTAAGTTTTAAAATATGTCATGCATATGAGTCCTAACTATGTAAAAGTGACAAAACTGCACAAAAGGATCCAACAAAAGGGTTTGAGAAGATCAGAGGCGAGTCCAAGCCTTCAGCTCCAGCAGCTTCCAAATGAACAACAGACGGTCTCTTTTCTCCCTCCCTCCATTCATCCTGTCTTTTATTTTCTCCCACACCCTCAGTGCTCCAATACACCTGTCAGCTCCAAACTGCAGCTGGATCACCAGTAATTAAGCAACCTGCTCTGCCGGTCCACCGCGCACACAACACACACTTCACACCTGGCTGAGACGGGCCTGTAAACACACCGTAAACGCTGTCACACACCGACACAAAGTGCCTGTTAGGACTCTCAGAACATCGTGTCGGGACGTGCCGAAACGAGAGACGAATGTGATGTTAATCCGGCTGCACTCTTGAATAGCGGCATTCATACGGCACAAACACACGCTGCACTCTCACCCAGATCACGGCTCTTTGATGAAGAATCAAACTCTGGCTTTTGACGGATCGCATCTGTCATCACCTGAACAACTGACAGGATTCATCGCAGACAGGGAAGCCCTATTCAACAGCCATTCAGGCTTTTCACCAGACAAAAAACATCTTTAAGTCTTAAAGGCATCGGATTATGAAAAAACTCATTTTTCCTGATCTTTTGAAATGAAAGAGTTTGATATTTTGTAAAAAAAAATTAAAAAACAAAAAAAAACTTTTACACCTCAAAACAATCTTGCCAGGAGAGCTGACAGGATTTATCGAAAATTATTATTATTATTATATAAAATAACAAAATACATATTCCTTTTGTAATATTTCACAGTAAATTAAAAATATTAGAGAATTATTATAAATATTACATAAAATATTAAACAAAATAAAATATATTCAATATATTGTAATATTTGTAAAAATTATTATTATTAGTCATCTTAATATATACATTTCATTCTTGACCAAATAACTAATGATAATGATATTATTTCTCCTATTATTTCTACTTCTATTATTATTACTACTATTATTTCACCCCCCAAAAACAATTTTTATTAACTATAACAAATATATTTTAATTATAATAATAATGATTATTAGTATCATTATGTAGTCATAGATATCTAAATCACATTTTTTGCTAAATAAGCACAACAAACTTTCTTTTTTTTTTTCTTTTTTTTTTACTGCATTTTAAATTGCAATTGCAATTTTATCTGGAGGAAAAAAAGGTAACTTTTTAGTTACTGAAATTCAGCTGCAAACTATATAAAATTCATTGCATTCATCAGAATTATTTAACAGAATTTAACAGAATTAAAAATATTTATTTACGGTTTTATTTTTCTTAATTTTATTTACAGTTATACTGTGTTCATAGCGCATACTCTTCAATTGAACCCACAAATATGGCAGCGCGCACTACAATGAAACTACAAGCATGCGTGTCAGATCTGCGTAAAGTTGAGCAGCGGCAGCTCTTAAAGTAATAGCAGCCAAATAACCGCATAACCAGCTGCTGTGATGTCTGTTAATCAAAGAACAAAAGAAAAAAGAGGAAAGTCAATAACTTTTGTAGCTTTAAGGATTCATCTACATTTAATTTAGAATTTAGTGTTTGATAACTTTATTCAATTTCTGTATATTTTCTACTTGCTGAAAGGCACAGTAAATATGATATTTATTATAATGGGTTTATGTAAAGATTGTGTTAAGTTCACTTAAATTAGAAGTTGTTATTTTATAAAGTCTAATAAATCGATAGCTCTTAATTACACGGCAATGTTAGTACAGTCAACACTACATATAGTCAATGGTTAAATATTAAGAAAAAAAAGAACAATTTCCTGGGACATGTGATACTCGCCTTCAGTCATAAAAAAAGATGCCATTAAACAAATATGAAAAATATACTGTCTTTACGTTGTTTCTACATTCATTTGAAGACTGAATGTGAAATTATTGCAATATAAAAGTATATTTAAAAACTTTAATGCTATGTTGGATTCATTTCGATTGATTTCAGGAAAAAAAAAGTGTGAATAATTAGTTAATTTTTTTTATCGATTGACAGCATTAATTTAAATACAAAACCATTCACATTTACACAAAAACCACACCTATTCAGTGTTCAGCACGGGCCGTCTATGGTGAGCTGATATACAGGAAATACATACTATTTCAAAACAGCATGTGCATCTCTGTCTGGCTGTTGTTCATTCCTCTTCCTCTCCGAGTTAACATGTCATTTTTATATCACACGTATCAGAGCGAGAGTGTGTAGCTGGTGACGTGTTGTGTAGTTTGTGTACCTCTCTCAGACAGGAGTATATGGGGCAGACCAGCACTCTGAACGGCTCTCCAGCACTGCTCCTCATGGTGCCGAACACTTCACACAGAAACGTGATGAAGCCTAGCCAGCACTCCACATCCGTCTGCTGCAGCTCCTCACGCCGCGTGAAGTCCCTCTGCAGACGCACAGAGAGAGATACACACATCAACACACACATAGAGACATACAGATGTTTAACATTCAATTTCCCAGCATCTACACTTGGATTCCTTGTGTTTTATTCTAGCTCTCTCAGTCAGGCAACTGCCGATCAAATCTGCTGGACATTTATAATTGATACCTAAATATTTGCTACCAGGAAAAATATAACGTTAACCTGGATCAGTGAAAGTGTGGCATAACATCATTCGAGAAATTATTCCTTTATTATATTGATATATATTGATATACTGTATATATACAACTGTATATATATATATGGTTTGTTGCTTGCTCATTTTTTACTTATTTATTTGTATATCATAATTCTCCTGTCTTATATATATATACAGTGGGTACGGAAAGTATCCAGACCTCCTTAAATTTTTCACTCTTTGTTATATTGCAGCCATTTGCTAAAATCATTTAAGTTAATTTTTTTTCCTCATTAATGTACACACAGCACCCCATATTGACAGAAAAACACAGAATTGTTGACATTTTTGCAGATTTATTAAAAAAGAAAAACTGAAATATCACATGGTCCTAAGTATTCAGACCCTTTGCTCAGTATTTAGTAGAAACACCCTTTTGATCTAATACAGCCATAAGTCTTTTTGGGAAAGATGCAACAAGTTCTTCACACCTGGATTTGGGGATCCTCTGCCATTCCCCCTTGCAGATCCTCTCCAGTTCTGTCAGGTTAGATGGTAAACGTTGGTGGACACCCATTTTTAGGTCTCTCCAGAGATGCTCAATTGGGTTTAAGTCAGGGCTCTGGCTGGGCCATTCAAGAACAGTCACAGAGTTGTTGTGAAGCCACTCCTTCATTATTTTAGCTGTGTGCTTAGGGTCATTGTCTTGTTGGAAGATAAACCTTCGGCCCAGTCTGAGGTCCTGAGCACTCGAGAAGGTTTTCGTCCAGGATATCCCTGTACTTGGCCGCATTCATCTTTCCCTCGATTGCAACCAGTCATCCTGTCCCTGCAGCTGAAAAACACCCCCACAGCATGATGCTGCCACCACCATGCTTCACTGTTGGGACAGGTGATGAGCAGTGCCTGGTTTTCTCCACACATACCGCTTAGAATTAAGGCCAAAAAGTTATATCTTGGTCTCACCAGACCAGAGAATCTTATTTCTCACCATCTCACAACTCCATGCGGGCTTTCATGTGTCTTGCACGGAGGAGAGGCTTCCGTCGGGCCACTCTGCCATAAAGCCCCGACTGGTGGAGGGCTGCAGTGATGGTTGACTTTCTAAAACTTTCTCCCATCTCCCGACTGCATCTCTGGAGCTCAGCCACACTGATCTTTGGGTTCTTCTTTACCTCTCTCACCAAGGCTCTTCCCCCCCGATAGCTCAGTTTGGCCGGACGGCCAGCTCTAGGAAGGGTTCTGGTCATCCCAAACGTCTTCCATTTAAGGAATGGAGGCCACTGTGCTCTTGGGAACCTTAAGTGCAGCAGAAATTTTTTTGTAACCTTGGCCAGATCTGTGCCTTGCCACAATTCTGTCTCTGAGCTCTTCAGGCAGTTCCTTTGACCTCATGATTCTCATTTGCTCTGACATGCACTGTGAGATGTAAGGTCTTATATAGACAGGTGTGTGGCTTTCCAAATCAAGTCCAATCAGTATAATCAAACACAGCTAGACTCAAATGAAGGTGTAGAACCATCTCAAGGATGATCAGAAGAAATGGACTGCTCATTTTTTACTTATTTATTTATTTGTATATCATAATTCTCCTGTCTTATATATATATATATATGGTTTGTATTTTTATGTATGCATGTATGCACGTATCTATCTATCTATCTATCTATCTATCTATCTATCTATCTAAGTTGAAAGTATTGGGCTTTGTTTGAGTTGTAAATGGTTAAAACTTTAATAAAAATAAATAAATACAAAAGATAAAATACAAATAAAAACCTAGCATGCAGACACATCACAAACTATACAAATGCATACCACGTATCTATCTATCTATCTATCTATCTATCTATCTATCTATGTAAGTTGAAAGTATTGGGCTTTGTTTGAGTTGTAAATGGTTAAAACGTTAATAAAAATAAATAAATACAAAAGATAAAATACAAATAAAAACCTAGCATGCAGACACATCACAAACTATACAAATGCATACCAAAAATCACAAACTGGCAATTTTAGAATCAACTAAATTCATTCAAAATAATATTTTTGATTATGACACAGAAAAAAATTCCACTGATTTGCAAAAAAAGGCCCAATAATACCTTGATGAGTTCAAAAATATATATATAAAAAACTTTACATCACATACAGCTAAACAGGAATACATAATAAATCTATAATTGCATATAAATATTAATAATAATAAAACACTGGTTCATACATAATGTTAGATTATGACACATCTTAAAAAATTCAATTGATTTGCAATAAATAAATAAAAAATAAAAAAATGAAAAAAATATACGTATACATATAAAATCAGCTTTAATTCACTTATCAAAATGACAAAAGAAGTCTTCAAACAAGTAGAAAATGTGGAATCAGGATTCGGCATATAATAATGAAATAATGTCATGCATGTGAAATTGGCAGGACTTGTGTGTTTGAGGCAGTTTTTCTACTGATTTAGTGACAATACAAGACAAATGGTCATAGAAAGCAAAAATGCTTTGAATTGCATCATATTTTTGTAAGAAAGTGTGACGCACTTGAGCAAAACAGCCACTATTTTTGGAATCAGCAGCTTAAAATTATTAACGAACACGTATTGGGTCTCATCCAGCAGATATGATGTGATGTGATGTTTATTAAGCTTCTGCAACAAAAATGCTGGAGAGATAGAGACATTGGAGGCATTTCTGGAAGATTTAGTTTTTACTTCAAATAGCATCTCATATGAGTGTATTCGTGGCAACCAGGCATTTAAAAAGCAGTGTTAGGTGTAAAACAAAAACATATGAACTATGAATGGACTTTCACACACACACTGGCAGCTCGTCTCTGTTCTCTGATAAGCCGTGTGTGTGTTTGAGACAGTTTGCTAAATGAGTCGCAGCAGACGTGTCCTTTCAGTGGGGTCAGAGACGCCCGCATCTGCGGATCTGCGTTACATAACCCCGTCAGAACGAAAGCGTCTGCTCCAGCATCAGGCGGGTGAAGAGCGCCGGTTTATGTGAGGACAAACCAGATGATTCATCCTCCTCAACACATGCAAAACTCCAGACTGATGCTCCACACGGGGTTAACGGGGTACTACACGTACAAAAAAATAATAATCAATAATAACAATAATAATTATATTATAATATTATTATTATGACAAATACTTTTAATATTACAAGGATATTATTATAATATTATAATTATATTTTTATTATTATTTTATAATCCTATTGATATATAAATAACTTTTTTTATCCGTTAAAACAATTACACTATCATTCAAAAGTACGTTTTTTTTTTTTTTTTAGAAATTCATACTTTTATTCAGGAAGGATGCATTAAATTGATCAAAAGTGACAGAAAAGATATCTGCAATATTGCAAAAGATTTCATATAAATGCTGTTCTTTTGAGCTTCTAATTCATCAAACTATCCTGAAAAAATATATTATGTACCCCAGTTTCCACAAAAATATTGGGCAGCACAACTGTTTTCAACATTGATAATAATCAGAAAGGTTTCTTGAGCAGCAAATCAGCATATTAGAATGATTTCTGAAGGATCATGTGACACTGAAGACTGGAGAAATGATACTGAAAATTCAGCTTTGATCACAGGAATCAATTATATTTTACAATATATTCACAAAGAAAACAGCTCTTGTGAATTGTAATAATATTTCACAATTTCTGCTGTTTTTACTGTATTTTTGATCAAATAAATGCAGCCTTGGTAAGCAGAAGAGACTTCTTTCAAAAACAAATCCAACCTCTGAACGGTATGTACACAAAATAATAATATGAAGTAATATGTAGAGTACATATTATATAAAAAGTGATACATCAAAAGTGATGTAAAAATACATTCGCATACATTAAATGATTAATTGTCAAAAAATATATATTATATATTTAATTGTCAATTTAAAATTATATATATATATATATATATATATATATATATATATATATATATATATATACACTGTATATATATTTGTGTATGACAAACCAGTCACTGAGCTGTTGATATTAAAACAAACTAGTTGATCAACATGATCAAAATCAGTATTAATATCTAAAACCAGCATGAAAAAAGCATCACTATGCTTACTATACGAGCGTGTCACTTAGAAAATTGCCTTTGATAGATGCTAAATAATGGTAATGTTATAACTGATAAAAATAAATCATAAAAAAAGAAATGCTGTACATTATTGTTTTATCAAAGGTTGGTAGCTTCCTTTCACAAACCTGTTACTAACACGTTAGCAAGATAGTGCTTGTTTGAAATGCAGCGTGTGTTGGTCTTTGCGTATTTGTGAGTGTGTGGAGCAGGATGTGTGTTTTGGCCGCAGCAGAAGCGGGTCAGAGTTCTGGTGTCACATCACAATGAGAAATGAGTCTAACAGTCAGTTCCCAAAAACAATGACAAAATACTTAGAGCTTCACCACCGAAACCACTGTACAGACAGACTGGCCCAAACAACAAGAGACAGAGACACGCTGTACAAATACAGAAATGTATCCCTGCCGATTCAATGCATCCCAAATCAATTAAAAGGTCATATTCTATATTTTTTGTTAATGTAACCTTGTTACTGTTAACTAAAACTAATTTAATAAAAAATATAAATATTATATATTTATATATAGACAAAAACTAATACAATTGACAAAAGCACATAAATTTAGTAACACACACTAACATTAAAAGGAAGACTAATATAAAAAAGTAAACAAAAAAACAGAAATGAGATCTTGAGATTAATCGATTAATCGCATCCAAAATAAAAGTTTTTGTTTACATAATACATCTGTGTGTACTTTGTATTTTATTACGTATATATAAATACACACACATACAGTATATATTTAGAAAACATTTACATGTATTTACATGCATATATTTATATTCATATAAATATATTTAATATATAAACGTAACATATTTTTCTTAAATATATACATGCATGGGTGTGTATTTATATATACATAATAAATATACAAAGTACACACACACACACATACATACATATATATATAAATTGGAAAATGTAAATTGTGTGAGTCACTTTTTTGGTGTTTTTGATTATAAGGGAAAGAGCAGACAGGGGAAAAAACAAAAAACCCTTAATTTTCTGCATTCCACGGGAAATGAGGCTGAACAAACGATGACAGAATTTCATTTTGAACTATTTCTTCAAAATCTATTTGTTTGCTTTCAGAAACTCTTAATTTCAAAATGAGGTGAAAGCGTTCGGGGCCTAAAAAGTCCCTTTTGTCCAATGAGGAAATTGTACAGGGTCACTCAGCTGGATTGCAGGCGTGAGTCACATCCTGATACTTCAGCTTCTTCAAGCCCTTCAGAAAAAGAGGAAGGGGACAAATTGCAAATGCAAAGAGGAACGAAAGAGCTGAGATGGATGTGGTTGGGCAGCAGGTGGGATAACGTTTGTGAATCGTGCAATCTGATTGGTCCTCTGAGACACAGCACTGACCAATAGGAGACAACCTGCAGAATGTGATAAGTAAGTTACGAACATTCAGTTCTTACCTGTAACATGTTGAGTAATAGAGAGCGGAATTTGGTTCCTTCCACCATGAACAGAGCCATCTTGTCACAGAGTTTGGCTGCCGTTGCCGCAAAACTTCGGTCGCTGACTGCCTTGCGGTAAATAGTGTGGACAATCTCGTTCAGCGTCTCCTCTGAATCGGCCGAGTTCTGCGCCTCCTCCATGAACGTGGTGAGCTGATTCTCCACGCCGCTGCTGTTGTTCCTCATGCTGTTCAGAATCTCTAACAATCTGTCCATTCGGTTCCGCTGAGGTCCGGCCGTCGCCACGGGAACTTCCTCCTGCCAATCAGAGAACAGCAAGAGCGGTCACATGACTTAGAACACCGAGGAACAGCATATACTACGTTTAAAAGCTAGGGATCAGTATGATTTTTGAAAGAAATTAATACTTTTATTCAGCAAGGATGTGTTCAAATTGATTAAAAGTGACAGTAAAGACATTTATAATGTTAAAAAAAGATTTCAAATCATATGGCTTGTTTTTGCATGCTATTTGCATGTTTTACCGCAGTGATAGTATGTTGCTAACGTATTTACCATGTTTCTAGCTTCTTTTAACATTGTAAGAATGTCTTACTACATTGTTAGTATGTTGCTACAGGGCTCTAGACTCATTATTCCCACTGGTCGCTCTTTCTCAGCTGGTCGCAATTTTATTTTAATTTTTTTGCCACAATGGGATTAATCAATGAATGCTGAGGAACTTTTATCATAGTTTATAGTTATATGGTAACCAAAGTGTTCAACTTTCAACCCGTTCTTTTTCATCGGTATTATTTGTGATTTAAATTTTGTGAACGGGAATTCTTCTTGTGGTATGTTATAAGTGATTGTGCGCTTTCGCTTTCGAATTCGCGATCTTGGTGTCACCTTTAACAAGATAAGATAATTGTCTGTTTTGCTTATATCTTTACACCTTTCACTTTTAAGACTAAAACAAAAGATGGATTCATTGTTATTCTTAATTAAAAAGCACAACAATAAAACAGTAGGCTAATGACAAACTAGCTTACATAACGTTTTTTAACAAAAACGAATAAGATGAGGCATGGCATACACCACATGTATTATATACCGACTAATACATTACAGAACGTTTAGCAAACACTGAGGAATCAAATAAAAAAATAAAGAAAGCCTCCATAGCGTGACGTGAGGTGAACAGCAAAGATAAGCTTTTCAAAACGAAAACAAAAAGAAAAGTAAAACTAAACTTTTTTGTCTTTTACTTTACTTTAGCTTGAAAACCAAATCTTCCGTCTGCCATAATTTTCTCATACTCGCATAATTTTTGCCGCGCGCATTCGCGCTAGCGCCTCTCTTCACGTGATCGGTGAAATCTGTCTCCTGTTACAATGCGCCGCGGCTCTGCAGAGCTGTATGGAGCAGGCGCTTTGGAGCAGCGCAGACCAAGCACAAATGTGACCACATCAAATTTTACATTCTCTACACGCACATTCTCAAAAAATTGTCGCAGTCTAGAGCCCTGTGCTAGTATATTTAGCGTGCCTAGCTTGTTTAGCATGTTGCTAACGTTTTGCCACACTGATAGTGTGTTTCTAGAATTTTTAGCACATTTCTAACTTGTTTTAGCATGCTTTACCACACTGACAGTGTGTTGCTATTATATTTAGCATGTTGCTATTGTATTTAACATGTTTCTAGCTCAGTTTACATGTTGCCAACATGTTTTACCACATTGATAGCATGTTGCTAGAATATTTAGCACATTTCTAGCTCGTTTTAGGACGTTTTACCACATTGACAGTGTGTTGCTAGTGTGTTTCTAGCATGTTTTACCATATTGGTAGAATGTTGCTAATGTATTTAACATGTTTCTAGCTTAGTTTACATGTTGCCAACATGTTTTACCACATTGATAGTATGTTGTTAACATATTTCTCATGTTTCTAGCTTGTTTTTCCATGTTGCTAGCGTGTTTTACCACACTGATAGCATGTTACTGACACATTTCTAGCTTGTTCAAGCATATTGCTAGCACGTCTTACCACATTGATACTATGTTGCTAGCATGTTTAATATGTTTCTAGCTTGCTTTAGCATGTTGCTAACATATTTGGAACATTTCTAACAAGTTTCTAACATTTTACAATATGTTGATAGTATTGATCGAATGTAGCTAACATATTTAACATGTTTCTGGCTTGTTTTAGCATGTTGCTACCACCATGTTTTACTACACTGACAGTATGTTGCTAGCATATTTAACATGTTTCTAGCTTGCTTTAACATGTTATTACTATGTAGATAGTATTGATAGTACGTATTTAGCAAGTTTCTGGCTTGTTTTAGCATGTTGTTAACATGTTTTACCACACTGATAGTATGTTGCTAATGTATTTAGCAGCAATCACCTTCTCTTTCAATCTCCTCCTCAGTCTCTCTTTAGACGACTGCAGTAAGCAGATCTTCCCGCTCTCCGTCTTCTCCTCCTTGTCTCCTTTCTTTCTCTCCTCTTTCGCAGGCTCATCCTTTGCTCCTTTCTCTATGTGGGGCTCCGGCTCCCCGTATTTTACATTCTCTGTCTCTTTGGTATTGCGTACGAGGCCCCTGTCGGCCCCCGAGGGCCCCAGATTGAAACTGTTCGTCTGGTGTTTGGGATGCTGATGCCAGCGGCGGTTCTGGCTGTAGCCGTGATGCGGGCCACCCTGCCACCCACCCTGGTTCTGCTGGCCCTGGTAACCCCACCCCCCATGCTTAGTGCCAGCACCTGATTGGTGGTCTGCGTTGGGCTGCTGCGTCTGATTGGGCTGCTGTTGCTGCTGCTGCAATCCCTGCTGCTGCTGAGGATTCTGGGATTTCAGAGGAGCCCCTCCTCCTCCTCCTCCTCCTCCTCCTCCAGGCAGGCGCTGCTGTCTCCTAGAACAACAACAAAAAGAGCCAGTTATCATTATGTCAATGAGCTTGTTGTGTGGGGGTTTCCAGGGTGGCCGCCCTGCCACCCACCCTGGTTCTGCTGGCCCTGGTAACCCCACCCCCCATGCTTAGTGCCAGCACCTGATTGGTGGTCTGCGTTGGGCTGCTGAGTCTGATTGGGCTGCTGTTGCTGCTGCTGCAATCCCTGCTGCTGCTGAGGATTCTGGGATTTCAGAGGAGCCCCTCCTCCTCCTCCTCCTCCTCCTCCTCCAGGCAGGCGCTGCTGTCTCCTAGAACAACAACAAAAAGAGCCAGTTATCATTATGTCAATGAGCTTGTTGTGTGGGGGTTTCCAGGGTGTTGCTAGACAGTTGCTATGGCATTCCGAAGGATTTTGTTTTGCATGTTGCTATGTGGTTGCGGGTGTTTTTAGTAGTTGCTAGGGCATTGTTAGGTGGTTGCCAGTATTTTGAGGATGTGTTGAAATTAGTAGTCAATGCATTGTTATGCAGTTGCTAAGGTGTTCTGAGCAGTTGACAGGCTAAGCAGTAGAGAGGATGTTCTGGGTGGATAAATAAATACACAAAAATAAATGAACGCACAAAACAAGTAAACAAATACACAAATAAATACACAAAACAAATAAATTAATGAATGCATTAAATCAATCAATCCTGGTGGATGTTGCTGTCAAACAAACAACAAACAAACAAACAAATAAATACACAAAAACAAATAAATGAAAATAAACACAAATATATAAATATATTTGTATACATTATATAATAATATATTAATAAATAAATAAATTAATAATAATTATTAATAATAATCAATTAACAATAATTCTGGTCAACGCTGCAGGACAACTCACATGCAATAAGAGCGTTTTGCTTGGTTAAGTCAAAATAAATTAAATAAAGCAAAGAAATAAATACACTAAATAAATAAAACTCAATTCATTAATAAAAAAAATGATAAAAAAAGTTTTAATAAAATCCTTTTAATTCTTTGAGAATGGATACGTCCACACCACCACTATAACGATAACAAGAAAGAGGAATGATACCACAGGAATCATTTTACGAATGTTTTTTACTGATGATCGACATGATACACTGACAGCCAATCAGAATCCATCAGGCTTTAAAGAGCTTGAACATTTAAAGTGGCAGACGACAACACCCGCTTATAATAAACTACGTCTGTGTGCTGTGTGGACACTAATATCTAGTTATCTTCATAGCTGTAGTTTTTGGTGTGAATGGGCCCAAACCCTAAATATGAGCAATAGTAATAGTGAGGATTGATTTAAACACCACTAATAATAACCGCAGTCACACACAGTGTGTTAATGTGTGTGCAATGATTTACAGCAGATGTGAGTCAATATGTAAACACCCAGATCTCCATGTTTGCAGCAGGCTGATGGGACGATCTTTCTTCACCAGCAGATAAAGACTGACACTGGATTATGGGCTTTACTGTGTGTACATTACATGTGTATGCATACTGACGTGTGAATTCAGAGCGCGCCGCGTCACGTGTGAGTGTGTTTGTGCACATTATGCGAACAAAAGCTGTGCACCACTGACTGCAATAGTCTGACTATTTACTCTTTTCAAGAAAAGACAATATTTGGATTCAAGAGTTAAACATTTCACAAACAAAGTGTAAAGCACTTCATCACAATTAGATGCAAACCGAGTTTCAAAAGCATTTTTCTGGCATCACTGAAAGCGAAATCCCAACCAATCAAAATATGTGATGTTTAATATACAGGATTATGGACCAATGAGATTTCACTATGACTAAACCGAAACCAACATGAACAGCAACATAATATGTCAAAATGAACATTATGAAACTTTTGCATGTTATGCGGCATCTTCCAGTGTCAGCATTGTAGAGTATTTATAGTTAACTAATACCATAGAAAATGTTATTTGAAATAAAAACTAAGTGAAATAAAATATTTAAAAAAAAATTAACATTTTATTTTAGCTAGTTGCCGAGGCAACATTTCTAATTTTCATTTAGTTTAAATTGAAGTACTAAAATGACTAAAACTAAGCTAATAATAAATACTTAATAAATAATAGCTAATAATAATAAATAAACCAAGTCAAATAAAATAATATAAAAATACAAATTATACATAACTTTTAAAAATATTTTATTAAATTAAATGTTTAATATAAAAACTAATTATTTCAGCTAATTGGCAAGGCGACATTTCTAATTTTCATGTAATTTAACTAACTGTCTAAGTATTAAATGACTAAAACTATAAATAAATAACTAAATAAAAGAAGCAAAAAAATAAATATACACAAATAAAGTACTAAAAAATAATAAATATAAATGAATAAAAACTATATAAACAAACTAATAAAGTGACAAAAACAAAAAATTACTAAAACTTTAACTAAAAATAAAGTTTAATTCAAAATGTTAACAAAAACTATAATAAAGTATATCAATGATACTAAAATAACACTGTAATAGTGGAACAAGGTCATATTTTACTGCTTCTATGAAGCATAAACAAGCATGGAGAGTCCTGTAGCGAACATAATCTACAACATCAGCGGACACTTCAAAGATTAATGTCTTCACTAGTGACCATGAACAAACGTAACCTCTGTGGTATTCTGTGCTCTTTTAAACCCTCACACACACGGGAATCTCCTAGCTCAGAGGACGGGCTTCACGCTTGATTGACAGCTTTAGAGCGAGGCGTCCAGGTTAAGGTCACATTGACGGTGGTGTTCTGGTTTTACTAAGGGTTCATTTTAGGGGAGACACACACTGAGTGTGCTGAATGACAGAGCGAAAATAAGACGTCGCTCTGCGGGAACATGTTTTACACGGATGCTTTACGTATCTATTCCAGCAGTGGCGGAAATACGGAAATGACACATATACGTAGACTATCACTGAAAAGTTTGAAATGCTTTTGAAATAGTCTTGTCTGCTCACCAAAGCTGTATTTATTTGATCAAAGATACTGTAAAAATTGTGAAATATTATTACAATTGAAAATTACTTTTTTTTATTTGAATATATTGTAAAAGTAATTTATTCCTGTGATCAAATCTGAATTTTCAGCATCATTACATGATCTTCAGAAATCATTCTAATATGCTGATTTGCTGCTCAAGAAACATTTCTGATTTTATTAATATTGAAAACAGTTAATCTGCTTTATATTTTTGTGGAAACTGTGATGCATTTGATTTTTCAGGATTATTAGATGAATAGAAAGTTCAAAAGAACAGCATTTATTTGAAATAGAAATATTTTGTAACATTATACATTGTAAATGTTACTTTTGATCAATTTAATGCATCCTTGCTGAATGAAAGCGCTTTCTTTAAAAATGTGTCTATATATACAAAAAATTACATTATTTATTTTATAAATAATGTTATAACATGAATATATATACATATACATACAAACCCGATTCCAAAAAAGTTGGGACACTGTACAAATTGTGAATAAAAACAGAATGCAATGATGTGGAAGTTTCAAATTTCAATATTTTATTCAGAATACAACATAGATGACATATCAAATGTTTAAACTGAGAAAATGTATTGTAGCTCTCATGAAATCCAAAATGAGTCAATATTTGGCATGACATTTCAAAATGTCTCACTTTCAACATTTGATATGTTATCTATATTCTATTGTGAATAAAATATAAGTTTAAGAGATTTGTAAATTATTCCATTCCTTTTTTACTCACAATTTGTACAGTGTCCCAACTTTTTTGGAATTGGGTTTGTACATATATAATTATAATTTTATATATATATCACATTATATATTATTACTATTTGTGTGTGCGTGTGTGTGTGTGTTATATAAACATGCAGTTTTAGCATTTTAACTAATTTCATCAAGTGCAAACTGTGCTTTAGTTTCTTTAAAAACCTTGCGAAATTAAATCTCAACCTTGCACAAATGCAGATCTCAAAAGAACAAGAATAAGTGTTGAGATGAAAAGAATCTTTGAGGAAAAGTTCAGTTTGGAGCAGATTATGATGACGTCCTTGAATGTGTTTTTGAGAAAATCAAAGCACTTCTATTCATGTAAAATCAGACATCTGCTCAATAGAATCATATGCGAGAGACTTCAGGTATATAGAGTTCATCAATATCTCAATTAGATGTACAAATTAACCTTTGACTTTGAAAAAGATGAAACAAAAGTTGGAAACCGAACAAATAATGTTAGATGTTAACCTAATACACCTAACATCAGAATGCATGATGTTTCAAATTTGTACTTATCTTAGTGCTGATTCTCATTCAATAATTTAAATGCATGTTGTACATTGTGTGTGTACCTCTCACCGACATACACTTATAAGCAGCTCGAGAGCCAGATTGAATGTCGTCCACACCCAACCCTTCCCTTCCCTCATTCACACGCACCACAAGACAACAAAAAGCTCTGAGAAAACCTCTTGCATAACATTAACATCAAGTGTTTGCTTTACACAAGATAAACCCTGACTGACAGATCTGTCATCGATGGGAATCTTCACACTTCACGCCTGCATCATGGTCAACTTAAAGATCTCTCTCACAACACACCATATTTAAATTAACACAAATAAAAATAAGACTGAGGAACAGAAGAACAATGCATTCGATATCTCGTATCGTTGATCAAAAATTCAAAATACATTCTTCTAAAATGTTCAAGGAGACAAATAACACACGTGAAACTCATCATGTGAAAATAACGACAATGAATATAATAAAAAAGCCCATTTTCTCCATCACAGAACACTAGTTCTCCACAATGTACGTAAAACAGATCATCTATATTCTAGAAGTAATGACCCCCATTTCTGTGTTTTTAAGTAATGTCTAGAAGTTGTTGACCAATACGTTGCCAAGACCGATATATCAGCTGATATTTGGCATTTTTAAATTTCGGCATTGAACCGTTAAGTGTCAAACCTTTATCTGACAGCATTGGGACTTTTATTTTGACATCAACAAACTCTCAAAATAAAAGCCATTTTTAAAATGATCGACACTGGACGATACATTTTACTGTTTGACCTTTAAGTGTCAAACCTTTATTTTGACAGAAGTGGGACTTTTATTTTGACAGCTACAAATTCTCAAAATAAAGTTATACATCGCTCATTCAAGCCTAAAGATTTCATTTACAGAAGACAGTAGTCTATATTTAAATAGGCTCAAACGAAAATAAGACTGAGAAACAGAAGCACAATGCATTCGATATCTCATATTGCTGATCAAAAATTGAAAACATCCTTCTAAAATGATCAAATAACTTGGGCTATGAAAATGATGACATACTGAACAGACTGTATTTCTGAGTTTTGTTAAATTAAATAAGGCATTTACTCTGATTAAAGTCCATAGTACCTCAAATTCTCCATCATACAGCACACTAGTTCTCGAGCATTTAAAACAGATCATCTATAGAATATTCTAGAAGCATCAACCACTATTGGTAATGTCCAGTAGTGGTCGACATACATTTCATCAAGACCGATAAATCAGCCGATATTTGGCATTTTAAAAATATCGGCATTGAATGATACGTTCCAATTCTCTGATAAATGTTTAACTTTTAAGATCTCAGAACCATCAACCTCCTTTACTTAGATATTACCTGAAAATACAGATGTGGACAACTGATATATCACCAAGACCTTATAAATCTGCCGATATTTGGCATTTTTAATAATCAGCAATGGATGATACGTTTTTCTTTAAATTAAGTGTGAGATTTTATACATATATGTCTAGTAGTGGTCAACCGATATATTGTCAAGAGCGATAAATTGGACGATATTTGGCCTTTTTAATAATCAGTATTGGATGACAAGTTTTATATATACAGTGGGTACGGAAAGTATTCAGACCCCCTTAAATTTTTCACTCTTTGTTATATTGCAGCCATTTGCTAAAATCATTTAAGTAAATTTTTTTTCCTCATTAATGTACACACAGCACCCCATATTGACAGAAAAACGTTCATCTGATCAGTAACCTCTCTTAAGTCATTGGTATAAATGAAGTCAAACTGCTGCTGCTTTCCTGTCAGCGAAATGCTGCAGTTCATAAGCATGACTGCGAAGATGTTTAGATTCAGCAAACTAATCTAAAGAGAGAGATTGAGAGTGAGTGAGAAAGAAAAGGCAAGAAGCGATGCCAACAAACAACACGACCGCAGAGTCCTCTCTGGCAGGAGCAAAGCATTGTGGGTGGCCAACAGCAGCAATAACAGGCTGAAAAGCCTTCTGTTAGAGGAGTGGGAGAGAGAGAGAGAGAGAGAGAGAGAGAGAGATGGGGGAAGAGAATCATCTTGTGTAGTGATGCACACACACACACACACAGAGAGAGAGAGAGAGAGAGAAATGATTCCCTAGATTGTTTTTTCTCTTACATCCAACTTTAGTAGTCAAAGCGGACATATTCTCATATTCTGTGGTCTGAAAGCCAAGTAAGACATGTTAAAAAATGACATTGTACGCTATTTGTGTTGTTTGCTAGTGCAAAACTCACAAACACAATGCTAGGATGCTGTTGGTGGTTACCAGGGTGTTGCTATGCAATTGCTAAGGCATTCTGAGATGTATTATTGCATTGCTGTATGGTTGCTAGGGTGTTTAGAGTGGTTGCTAAGCTACTTATCATTCGGGTACGACACACATACTCAAATTTAAGACCAATAATTATCATTAAATTGACTCTTTAACTTAATCTTATAGTAAATAACTGGATTTTTATGAAAAAAAAAACGAAATCGTATCATTGAGATGCTATTATATTTATATTATTTTTATATTATATTCGTCATATTTGTATATTAATATTTATTCATTTTAATTTTATTTTTAATCATATTTATTTTAATTTAAAGTTTTAGTAATTTTGAAAAGAAATACGTTTTCTATATTTTATTTTATTTCATTTCAGTTTACTATATTTCAAGAAACAAAAATGTTTGGTTATATATTTATATGTTTGTTTAGATATTTATTCGTTTTAATGTTATTTGAATTTTTGTTACAGTTTTAGTCATTTTGAAAAGAAACAAGTTACATTCTTTTTAGATATTTAATTTTATTTTAGTTTCAAGTATCAAAATCTTTTCATGGTTTTAGTTAACTATACAAACCCTGACTCGCAGGCATCAAAAGCCCCAGTAAAGGCCACTAAAGGACAGGCAGCAGTGCATTTTGGGAATCTGAGAGCCTTTATTCACATATGTCAATGTCAATGTCAATTTTATTTCTATAGCACAACTAAACACAACAACAGTTGACCAGTGTGCTCTACACCAATACAAGAGACCGTAAAAAAATAAATAAAAATTATATATATATATATATATATATAATTAAGAAAATCATAAAAGCAAAAACACACAGTGCAATACATTTCATTACTGACCATATGCCAGTTCAAAAAGGTAAGTTTTTAACCTAGATTTATAAACCGATATGGTTGGAGCAAATCTAATATTGGAGGGTAGCGCATTCCACAATCTGGGAGCAGCTACTGCTTTGATTTCGGATAAGACGTAGCAATCTCTGATTAGACGACCGGAGAGACACAACTGGACGATGTTCTGTCAGTAAATCCGAAAGGTAAGGAGGGGCCAGACCATTTAAAGATTTAAATACTAAAAGAAGAATTTTAAAATCAACACGGTATCGTACAGGCAGCCAGTGCAAAGTGTGTAGCACTGGAGTAATGTGGTCCCGTTTTTTAGTACATGTCAGAAGTCTTGCCGCCGCATTCTGTACCATCTGTAACCGGGATAAAGCTGATTGGCTAATCCCGTAGTACAGTGAATTACAATGGTCTAGCCTCGATGTTAAAAATGCATGAATTATTTTTTCAAAGTTATTAAAAGATAATATAGGTTTTACTTTAGCTAAAAGACGAAGCTGGAAAAAGCAGGATTTGACCACTGAGTTTATTTGCTTGTCAAATTTTAAACCATCATCGAACACAAAACCCAAGTTCTTTACCCAAGGCTTTGCCGGAAGTGTTGAATTACCTAGGGTTATTTGACTAGGAGAATCAGATGAGCCAAAAACTATGATTTCAGGTTTATTCTCATTAAAATTTAGGAAATTTAAAGATAACCAAGCTTTCACGTCAGATAGGCAGGCCCTAAGTGTTTCCAGCCCATCAGTATTAGGTTTTAAGGGTAAATATACTTGAGTGTCGTCCGCATAGCAGTGGAACGACAACCCATATTTCCTGAAGATAGACCCTAATGGGAGCATATATAGTGTGAAAAGAATGGGAGCTAAAATGGATCCCTGTGGGACACCACAGGAAAGAACAGCAGCCTCCGACGAATATTCCCCAATATTTACACTGAACTTCCTATTTGAAAGATAAGATCTAAACCATTCAAGGGCAGCTCCTTTGATACCAACACAATGCTCCAAGCGAGCAAGAAGGATAGCATGATCTACCGTATCAAAAGCCGTGCTCAGATCTAGCAGCACAAGTACGGTACAATCCCCAGAATCGGCAGCCATTAACACATCGTTTAGAATCTTCAGGAGTGCAGTCTCTATTGAATGATATTTTTTAAAACCTGATTGAAAAAGCTCATATAAACCATCTATTCTGTTCCACACGTCCAGTCAAAGAAAGCCAAAACCTCAGCGTAAACGTCCTTGAATCCAGCGGCATCACAAAGCACACATGAGAAGCGTCCAGCGAAGACATGCAGTCACACACAAGGACTTTCTTCACATCAACAAAGCCCTGAATAACACAAAGCTTTTGCCTTCTTTCTCCCTCCTTTTCTTTCGCACAAGTTTAGACCAAGATATTTTCTTTTTTTGCCATTTCTTAGCAACTGCAAACTACAACAGAGAAATTTTCCGATGAGGTCAAAACGTAAAAGAAAAAGAGTGGAAGTGCTTTAATGGATTAAAAGGGAAGACTCTGAGTAAAGAACACGCAGATACAGAGTGTTACGTTTTACACACCGCCACGGCTGACGCTCTCACCGCATTAACAGTCTGACTCGAGTGGAAAGTGTGAACTGCTGTTTTCTCTGCTTTACGAGTCTAACGTCAGCGTTCTGTGTGTAACGTTTGCGCTAAACAATTGGAAGAGAGTGGGACAGTAACACTGAGACGGAGTGACTCACCGGCGGTCATTTCTGCGGCGACGAAACAGTTTTTTCGTGTGTGCGATCTCAGCTTCATTAGGCAGAGGAGGAAAAACCTGCAGAAAGAAAGAGAAAATCACATGAGAAACGCCAAAACAAAAAGTCTGTACAGTTTGTATATAAGCGCGAACCTCAAGTACAAAAAAAAAAATTACATTTTGCAGAAATTTTAAAACATTTGTTAGTATATTATTTCAAGATTTTTATTATTTTATTTTCATGATAATTATGCACATGCACAAACTCTCATTATTGTAATGTTTTGTTTTAATTCTCATTATTTTCAATGGTGATTTCCATAAATGTTTTATATAATTACATAACAAATAATTGAATAAAAAATGTTGTACAACAACAACTAAAAAATAATTTTATACAACAAATACATCCGGAATATAATCTTTTTCACATATTTTTTGAAAATATACAGTATACACACATGCATTAACATTTTTGTGTATGATTTTTATATTAATTAATAATATAATCTTCATATATATTTTGTGCATGTATTAATTCTTAATGATTATTATATTAATGTAATTACATATGACATAATTATTACATATATTAATGTAATGTATTATACAAATAATATTAATGTAATTTGTATATATAAGAAATACAAAATTATTAAAAGATGTATAATTTAAACAAACACATCATAAAATGTTTTAAAATACTTGGCAATATACTCTACACACAGACACATTTTGTTTCAGAAATTATGCATGCATCTTTGTTGTATTTGTAAAAAAGTAACTGAGCTTTGTATTAATATTTTGCATTACAGTAATTTTGTCAGTTTGACATTTTTTATTATTTCAGGATCATTGCAATTTTTTTTCTTGATAATGATTGCACACTTCCTCAGAAACTCTCATTACTGCAATGTTTTGTTTTAATTCTCAATTATTCAATTATTTTCAATGGTGATTTCCATAACAGTTGTATATAATTACATTAAAATAAAAAAATAAAAATCTTATACAACAACAAATTAATTTTGGAAAACAAATACAACCAGGATTTTTAAAAATATTGTTTGAAAATATACAGTATACACACACATCATGCATTAACAATGTGTCTGTATGATTTTAATATTAATTAATGATATTCTTCATACATATTGTGTATAAATGATTATATTAATGTAATTACATTTTAATGTAATGTATTATACACATATTAATATAATTTGTATATATTAATAATATAAAATTATTAAAATATTTATAATATAAATTAACACTTATATCACAATATTTGGCAAAATACCCCCCATTTTTCTTGTATTTGTAAAAAAAATTTAAATAACTGAGCTGTGTATCACTATTTTGCATTACAGTAATTTGATCAGTTTTACATTTTTGATAATATTGTCATATATGACCCATTACTTAACAGTTTAGCAATGATTACAAATTCAATCAAATGCAGATGGTTAAAATCAAATCCCACCCTTCATCATTCATAATATTGTTTCACATGAAAGTACATGAAGATGTGAATGCAGATCTGTGTGTGTTTGTGCTTGTGATTCAGAGCTCAGTCTGCATGAACATCATCTACAAACACACCACAAACTACAGATAAAGCTTTTCAGTCTCTCTTGGATACTACAGGAGGTTAAAATGCCAAGGTTTATCGACAGGATCTGGGAAACAAGTTTTGGTGCATGATGGGTAATAAAACCCTACACTCTGACAACCTTCCATTTCACAGCATAATGGAACATTCTTGAGCTCTGAGCTGTGGTGGCAGCATCTACACACACACACACACACACACGGTCCTCAGGGTTTCTCTTTCTAACCCTTCTGAGGCTCTGAAGCCAAAACCACTGTGTGCTGATTGGCTGTCTCTGATTGGACACAGATGTGGCGGGAGATTAGTGTAATTGGCTGCTTTTCCTCGTCGGCCTGGTAATAAGGGCTTCTAACGCTTAACCCCGCCCCCACACAGAAAGCCTGCCAGAGCCGGACACAGAGAGTCGCCAGCCATCACATTTATTACAAGAAACGACAAAAACAACCGAAACTTAAGAAAACACAACCGGATGTATTCATGATGATAAAACATCACGTCAAACATCTGGCAGGAATACACACACTTGACTGGCTCAGACTGAAGTGAGAAACTGAAATGAAAAAAATGAAAATTGTCATCATTTGAGTTGTTACAAACCTGTATGACTTACTTTCTTCTGCAGAAACAAGCAGTGAATGTCTGAAGAATGTTCTGGTTGCTCTTTTACATAGAATACATTATTATGAGGAAAGGATATTGTAACAAACAACTTGACATTTCTAAATTCCCATGCATTCGAAAAACGTTACAAAAGCCAAAAATGATGCACATTATATATATATATATATATATAAAATTATATTTTTATTTTTGTAAAAAATACACAAAACTTCATTCAGATTCAGATAATGAAGGGTGGGATTTGATTTTAACCATCTGAATTTCATTGGATTGTAATCATTGCTAAACTGTCAAGTAATGGGTCAGTTTTAGCAAAAATGTCAAACTGACAAAATTACAGACAGACAGATAGATCTGTCCAATCAGAGACAGATGACAGACAGACAGACAGACAGATAGATGACAGACAGACAGACAGACAGACAGACAGACAGATGACAGACAGACAGACAGACAGACAGACAGACAGATGACAGACAGACAGACAGACAGACAGACAGACAGATGACAGACAGACAGACAGACAGACAGACAGACAGATGACAGACAGACAGACAGACAGACAGACAGACAGATGACAGACAGACAGACAGACAGACAGACAGACAGATGACAGACAGACAGACAGACAGACAGACAGACAGATGACAGACAGACAGACAGACAGACAGACAGACAGATGACAGACAGACAGACAGACAGACAGACAGACAGATGACAGACAGACAGACAGACAGACAGACAGACAGATGACAGACAGACAGACAGACAGACAGACAGACAGATGACAGACAGACAGACAGACAGACAGACAGACAGATGACAGACAGACAGACAGACAGACAGACAGACAGATGACAGACAGACAGACAGACAGACAGACAGACAGATGACAGACAGACAGACAGACAGACAGACAGACAGATGACAGACAGACAGACAGACAGACAGACAGACAGATGACAGACAGACAGACAGACAGACAGACAGACAGATGACAGACAGACAGACAGACAGACAGACAGACAGATGACAGACAGACAGACAGACAGACAGACAGACAGATGACAGACAGACAGACAGACAGACAGACAGACAGATGACAGACAGACAGACAGACAGACAGACAGACAGATGACAGACAGACAGACAGACAGACAGACAGACAGATGACAGACAGACAGACAGACAGACAGACAGACAGATGACAGACAGACAGACAGACAGACAGACAGACAGATGACAGACAGACAGACAGACAGACAGACAGACAGATGACAGACAGACAGACAGACAGACAGACAGACAGATGACAGACAGACAGACAGACAGACAGACAGACAGATGACAGACAGACAGACAGATAGATGACAGACAGACAGACAGACAGATAGATAGATGACAGACAGACAGACAGATAAATAGATATAGATAATAGACAGACAGATAGATAGATAGATAGATGACAGACAGACAGACAG